TATTTAATTAGAAAATAAAAATATTAACATTTTTCATTATTTAAAAGAAATTATTAAAAATAATTATTATTAGAAGAATTAAAAATAGGACCACTCGAATGGTTTTATTGTTTAAAAATAATTATACTACATTAGTGTTTCGAAATGTATTTTCTGTAAATGTTTCAATAATATAAATGTATTTTATATTATTGACATATTTAAAGATTTCACATATACTCTTCAACAAAATTATCGCATAAGTAAATTTGTATCAAAATTTCGCAAAAATTTAAATAAGTGTAACTCCGCGAAAAACAATCGCATTAAATATCGTTAAAAATTTTTTTCATTCTTAAAGGTAAAGTTTATACTTTAATGGATTTTGAATCTATCCTTACCTTTATGTAACATCTTTTTAAAAATAAGAACGTGTTTTTTTTTCAGAAATTTGCATAGTTTAATGCACTCGGTGAAGTAAATTTTTTTTGTAAATATTATGATAACTGTAAAGTGGACTTTTCTCTTACAATTTAAAAAAAATTAAGCTTTGATTTTTTTTTCTAGGAGATACAATATATTAAATTTACCTATTTTATTTAATTAGCGCCAGCATTAGTAATTAGCATTACCTGATGCACATCACGGAGGTTGCTAGTTGGATTTTACGAATCGTAATGGATTTGCGTGCTTGGGAGGGAGGTATATCGTGGAATTTTTTTCGGTGGGGTTTTTGATTAATTCAGAATGAACCGTGCACCAATCGGAATATAACATAAATGTTTGTAAATATGATAATTTGTAACATGAATGAATTCCATTTGAATATTTTTACAACTTTTGATATCTCCTCGTACCTCATTTTGAAGAAGAAAAATGTTTTGTACATCATGTGACTTTTATTTTTTTTTTTTAAGAATTTTTTTAAGAAGACTATTACAGTTACTATACGAGTGTATTAATCATAGCGTATATTCTGTTTTTCGCGCGGGACAAAAGTTCTTACGAAAATTTTCTCTACATATCATATATTTTGTCAAAGCTCGAACAAACAATGAGAAATTTCCGAAAGAATTTTCCGCTTGAATTAGAGCTTATATCAATATGCATGTTTACAAGAGGTCATCTGAAGAAGACGAAGCGGAAATACACAATTTTAAAGAGCAAATATACCTCCACACACACATACACACACACACACACACACGCGCGCGCGCGCGCGCGCATGCACGCACGCACGCATGCACGCACGCACACATACGATTCGCAAAATTCGACCAGTAACCTCTCCGTAGTGCACATCGGGTAATGTTAATACTGGCAATAATAAAATGCATAGGTAAGTTTAATGCACTGAATCTCCTCGAGAAAAAATCATTCAAAGCTTAATTTTTTTAAATTTGAATAAGAGAAAAAACCATATTATACTTTACGATAGTTAGCATGACATTTACGAAAAAAATTTACTGTACCCCGTAGTGTGCGTCGAACTACGCAAATTTCTTAAAAAAAGATATATCTTTATTTTTGAAAAGATGTTAGAAGGGGTAAGGATAAATTCAAAATCCATTGAAAGCTTTGTATAATACAGACTTTACCTAGAATGAAAATAAAACTTTTAAATGTGACCATTTTTCACGAAGTTACTTTTATTTGAATTTATGCGAAATTTTGATATAAATTTACCTATGCGATAATTTTATTGACGAATGTATTTTTGAAAAAAAATGATTATAAATACACTTTTGATAATTTGGAAAATAAGTTTAGAACAGATTTGGAATAAAAAGTTATTTTTTTCTTCAAGAGCGCGTAATAGTAATTAATGCAAATGCTTAAAAATTATAAAAATTATCAATTTGGCCACGGTCATTTAAGAGTAAAAATTATTTATTTAATTTATTAATTTTGAACTTCTAAAACATAAATAAATAATAGTGTTATAAAAAAATCTCAAATATTATTATGTGATTTAGTTTATAGACTAACATCTATTTTAAATCTTTAAAAATAGAAATATAACTGGCAAGGATAAAAATTAATTTATTGAAATAAAATTTTACAAGCACATGTTTCTAGATTCCTGCCACAAGTTTCCTACATGCGCCATATCCGAATTTTCGATATTTTGATTTTTGGTTTCATCTTAATATTTATATAATTTTTTCTTTCTTTGCCTTCTTTACACTGAGATATATCCTCGGTTATATTTTTTTTAATTAATCTAATTTCAAAATATTTAAATTTATACAATGTATGCGTATGCTTTTCATTTATATTTTCATGCATTTTCGTGCTCTACAAAATTAGATCTCGTGAAATTCAGAGAATTATATGTTTCTGTCTTGTAACTTTGGAAGGCACATTTAGCACGAAATATTTAAATCCAGCAAGGAAATTTTAAATTTGTTCTATGTGTGGTGAATCTAATAACGATTTTATTAATGCCAAAGTATGTCGTGATGTGATACTTTTCAGCTGCCAGACGTTACATTTGCGTTACATAACATCACCGTGCTCATGGAGAGTAATATAGTGTCGGAAGTAAGCCAGGGCAGGGATTCGTTTCTGAAGATTCAGAAGGATATACAGCACGCCGTTAATCAGACAATCCCTGTAGTTAGTGCGAGTATTCGACGAGCCTGTAACTATCTGGCAAGCATTGCCAATAACATGACTGCTCTTATCGACAGGATAAATATCGACATAGATAAAGTATATATGCGACATTTAGAAGTTGCTCAGAATAATATAAATCAGTATTCACCCTACAGGTTCGTGAACAAATAAACTTGAGATAAATGCATGCGAAGAATAAAATTCATAGAGAATATCTAATGATCTTTATATATATAAAGATATGGTTTGTTTTAGATACTATCTTGGGCTTGGTATATCCGGTATTCTTCTGACTGTCTTGATGTGTTTAACGTGTGGCCTTTTCTGCGGTATTTGCGGAAAACGTCCAGATGGATACGGAGATGATTGCTGTAATAAAGGATCAGGGGCACGATTTCTTATGATGTAAATTACAAAAGTTATTAGAATTATGTAAAATAAAATCAGTTGCCATTGTCATTCTCTTTTTTTATAACTTTTAACATTTCAAATTGCAGGGCTGTGTGGATTATCTTTCTTTTGACGAGCATTCTGATGGTTATAACTGTTGTTCATATGATAACCGGCGTTATAGCCCAACGTGGTATCTGCGAGCCTTTAAAGAATCCAAAAGACAACAGGATGTTCGAACTGGTCGATGAGTTTGTGCAAATCAAGAGAATACTTTATCCGAAAAATCCTAATGCGAATATTAACATGAGTTATATTGTAACGTAAGTATGTCTATGTAATATATGTAATAATTGTATTTTTAAATCGGCTAAATTCTAAGGAAGCTTGTATTTTGACAAATGATAATCTTATTGTATAACATCGTGCGACAGTATTTTTCACACATGAAAAACACAAAGTTCTTTTTATGAAAGTAGAGATGAAATCTAGTACCGGCGTTTAATTTGGCGATATCAAATCGTTGGCGTTTGCAGTTTTTGTGCACATTCCAAATTTAGAGGAAGTCACTTCGTCTGTGGCGCAAGATGGAATTTTGCGATTGTCTGAACATTATGTACATAAAATGATGTAAAATTGATCACTGAATGAGAAAACAATCAAATTAAAGCAATTGGAATAGAGTAAAATGATGAAAAAATGTATTTTTAGTCGAAAATCGTCAAATCGTGATCTAAAAATCACAACTCATAACTCATAACGCTTGTGAGTGTTTGTTTAATATTTGATAAGCAACAAGGATGAAATGATTCGTAATCGTATTTATAAGTTTGAATCGGATCGCGGCGTTATACGTAGCTAACTTCAAGACAAATGCGTTATGACCATTTTTGTAGAAAGGTCGAGTAATTTTCAATTAAAAATACATATTTTCAACATTTTTCTTTATTTTCCTTTTAATTTTATCATTTTCTCATTTAGCGACTAATTTTATATGAAAATACATGATTTTCAGACAATTGTAAAATTTCATCCGAAATAACCTGCTCAAATGTGTATAAAACTTCAAATTTGCGTAAAAAACACAAATGATTTGATATCGCAGAACGACATGTATGCTTGTATTACATTTTGTCTCTACTTTTGAGAATAACTTGAGTTTTCTATATGTGAAAAAAAAAAATTATTTTTGTTGCACAGTATAATCATGAGATGCGATAGCGTCTCCCGACAAGTATATTTTGCAAAAAAAGAAAAAAAAAATATTATAAAAAAGAGGTGAAATCAAAATAATTGTTACATTCTTCCATATAAATAGAAATTTTTGTCATTTTGTTTACAATTTTCTTTTCATGATTCCGTTTTTACGTTGTTCTATATGAATTATTTAGTTTAATCATTTTGCGTGAATATCCTGCGAAAATAATATTCAGTTTAATTGCGTTGCTTTCAAATACTCTGTGCTGACGCGTGCGTTGGCTAGCGCAAGTCAATCATATCATTCGCGAGGCGCATACGTACCGATGTTAAAAAATACCATCAAAAATAGGGAAGAAATTTAGAAACACGGTAGTGTCTCGGCGCTAAGAAAAACGCGTAGTGTTTTAGCGCGAGACAGTACAGTGTATCTTTAAGAGAGCGCTAAGTTTTTCGAGATCTCGATTATTATATACTAGACACAATAGGCGCACCCTTTGTGTGCGATATTGAGCTTTTAATATTACATTATAT